AAAAGCCTCGCCCCAAATGCCTCTCCCCTTGCCCCCCTCCCCCCCCCCCCGTGTGTGTGTGTGTGTGTGTGTGTGTGTGTGTGTGTGTGTGTGTATCTCATGCTGTCTCTCTGTCTCTGCATCTCTTCTCTCTCTCTTGGAAAGCCAAATCAGCAAGCTCTCCTTGGGGCGCTTCGCTACTCCTTTTATTTCTTCTTTTCAGAAATCCAAGCTGGCTGAAGAAAGTTCGCCAGCCTCGGCGGAGGCTTCCTTCAGGTGAGCCTCCTCCTCTTCCTCCTCTCGTGATCCCCTGGCCCGCTGTGGTTCGACCGGGAGGGTGCACACATGCTGGGGGACCCTCAAGCAAGCAGCAAAGCCCCCCCTATGGTGGGCAGGCACTCGCTTGAGGGTCTCTCTGCACATGTGCATACTCCTCGCCTGCCACAGCCGGCCAGGGGGTCATGAGAGAAGGAGGGTCAGTCGGAGGAGGGTTGTCAGAGCCTTAGTGCAGGAGCAAAGCAGCCCTGTGCCTGCCTTCACGCCACATTTGCATGTTAGGCAACCTTCGCCTCCTGCCATTTGGGCTGGAGCCTACGCCCTCCACGCGCGGCCAAAGAGCTGCCAAGCGGGAGATGAGGGCAAGGCAATGGCCGGAACCTTAGTGCAGGAGAGAAGCGCATGCTGTTGTATCCTGTTAAGACCCTCCTTAAGCGAGCAGCCACTTGCCCCGCATGCAACTTTGCTGCACTTTGATGCTCACTTGAGTATCTCCCTGCTCATGCGCACCCTCCTGACCCCACCACAACTGGCCAAGATGAGAAGGAGGGGGGAGGATGGTCACCCAAAGAGAAGCCTCTACCGTGGCTGGTGATCATTCCTCAGCTAGCCCGGATTACCAAAAAAAGAAATAAAAGGAGTAGTGGAGAGCCCCAAGGAGAGCTTGCTGGTTTTGCCTAGCCACGGTTTTCTGAGAGAGAGGGAGACATACACACATACACAGATGGCGAGAGAGAGACATAGAGAGACACATATAGAGTGATACATAGAGGGGGGAGAGAGATATAGAGAGATATAGAGGGAGGGAAAGAGAAGAGAGGGGAAAATAGGGAGAGGGACAGAGATCCAAATGGCTTTTTGAGTGTTTAAATTTGCAGACCCCTGGTATAGATCTATTTCAGTCTCTCCCATGGTATAGCCGACAAAGTGAGGAGAGCCCTTGGCTTAGTGGTTAATACATCTACCTAATATGTAAGTAGCCCAAGTTTGAATCCCAGAAGGTGATAAGAGCTAAATAGCTTGAAATAGATCTCCCTTTCTTTCTTTGTCGATAAATATAAATTTAACAGAAAAATAGTTTGACGCAAAAGCGACTGCCTGCGAAGGCTCCTGGATTGGGGCTGAAAGGCAGAAGTGGAAGCACTATTTGCTGTCCCATATTTGGGTAGACCAGTTTGCCCTGATAAACAAACACTTCAGAATAGTAGTTGTTACCAGTGTACATTTTGTCTGTACAAGGATTTCTTTGCAAACATTGGAAACACATTTTTTAATGTTAATAATTTATTAATGGTAATATTTTCTTTATGAAAGATTTTAACAAGGGTTGTTTTTACTTTGCATGGAATAAAAACCTATAATTTTATATTCTTTAAAAAATAATATTTCAATTGATTCTGCCTTTTAATCTTTATAGCACTGCTTTTTGGTGGAGTCACCAATCCTGCTCATCCAAAACATATTGGGAGCATTGATCCTACTTGTAATGTGGCTGATGTAGTGGAAGGTAAAAGTAAAAATAATTTTGCTTTGCATTTCAAATGTTGATTGCATCTGTTTCTGATCATAAAGTCAGTAGCTATATTAGTTTTCATCAAAACAAATGTGTTCCTTTCTGTAGTTTAATAGCTTGATCTTTTCATTATTGATGTTAACCATAGTTAAAAATCAGTCATTTTCTTTCAGCCCAAAATTTCCATACCCACTTCAGATTAAATTTGAATGATTAAACCAAGACACAAGTAAAGTAGCTTCAGAAGCAATATCATGTCTGCCTTTAACTTTGCTAACTATGTTTTGCAGTGAGCTCTACATATTGTTACCCTGTTTATAATTAATCATCACTTTGGACTTGATCCACCACTTTTTTCCATTAATGGCTCATAGTTGATGAGATTATATTATTCCTAATTTTCTGTCTTCAAAATTCTTTTTAATCCTTAATGTATTTATTTCACATAAGAATAGTACAAAGACTTTTATATCTTCATAGTGCTTTACAGCCCTCTCTAAGCGGTTTTACAGAGTCAGCATATTGCCCTCAATAATCTGGGTCCTTTTATCAGTCTTAGAACGATAGAAGACTGAGTTAACTTTGAAATGGTCAGGATCAAACCCATGGCAACCAGCAGAATTAGCTGGCTATACTACATAGCCACTGTGCCACCACGGCTAACACCATATGTTATCGTTTGCATTACACTCATTGCTATTATATAAAATAATTGCAAGTTGTATTTTATTTGTGATGGCATTTATTTAGAGATGAAATAATAGTTTCCTCGGTTTAAATAAATAAAATTGCTTAGCTTGATTATGCACAAAATTGATTCAGGAACGAACAGACTTTTTTATCACTATATTAAGGTGCAGCATACTTAATATAATCAAGTGTATATTCTTTTTAGTAAAATATAGTAGTAAAAATACTCATAAAAATATTTCAATATTTTTAAATGTCTAAATGAAATACATTGGTAGGATCTAGAGACCTGTTTACATTTTTGTGCTTGTTACATTCATTGAATATTGGAAATAAATTAATGGGTTTAAATACCCATTTCCTTGTTCAAATAGGTTTGTCAGCTATGAAGTTGCATTGAAACATCTATAATAGCATATGGTTATTGAAATAACTATTCCCTTGGGCTGTATTGTATATCTTCATTATGAGTGAGATGTAAATAATTCCTTTGTCTACAATTTTTAAGATACTCATTTTCCTTGAAAATAAGAAACACACATCCCTTATTTTGTCTTATTTTGCAGTCGCCCACTCGCTCCTATCATTTGCTTGCCCGTGGCCAACAGCTTACAGGGCTTCCCAGAGCAGACACACTTTTTGCCTGTATGGAGAAATGAGGAGACTGGAAGCTTCATCTGCTTGCAAATGGAACACTTTGAAACAGAACAATTAGCTTCATTTCAAAGTGCCCCATTTGCAAGCAGATGGCTTGCAGTCTTCCTCTGGGTGAAAAGTGCACAGTGGAGCCAGGCGGAGGCAGTGGCACAGGGGAGAAGAGGCAGGTGATCCTAACGCGCCACCCACCCACTCCATCCCGCTGTGCCTCGGCTTGCCTGCGCCACAGCAGGAGCTCATGCAGGGCGGCAGGATCACCTGCCTCTTCCCCGTGCCTCTGCCTTCTGTTGATGCTGCCATGTGAGCCTCCCATAGAGCCAGGAAGCCGCACAGCACGTCCAGATCACCTGTCTCCCCCCTCTGCCTCCGTGCTCAGACTTCTATGCTGTGCCAAGGGGCCAGCAGGCTGCAGCTGCTGCCAGACACACTCTCTGCCTCTTGTGCTGACCACACCCATTCCCCAGGCTTATTTTTGGAGTAGGGCTTATATTAGGCACACCCAAAAACCCCATGCTAGGGCTTATTTTCAGAATGGGTCTTATTTTCAGAGAAATACAGGTAGTTTTCATGAAAGGTGCAGGAATAGCTTTGAAATTTGAAGATTTTATTAACATGCATTTTTGGTTCTTAAATTTGGCTGTGCAATCTTACATACAGTATATCAGAAAGTGGGTACAACCCCTCACATTTAAGTATATCTTTTCATGTGAACACTGAAGAAATGACACTTGACTATAATGTAAAATAGTGAGTATACAGCTTGTATAACAGTGTAAATGTGCTGTCCCCTCAAAATAATGCAACACACAGCCATGACTAAACTGTTGGCAAAAAAAGTGAGTACACTCCTAAGTGATACTGTCCAAATGGGGCCCATGTAGCCGTTTTCCCCCCTGGTATCATGTAACTCATTAGTGTTACAAGGTCTCAGATGTGAAGGCGGAGCGGGTGTGTTAAATTTGGCAATATCGCTCTCACTCTCTCATACTGGTCACTGGAAGTTCAACATGGCACCTCATGACAATGAACTCGGAGGATCTGAATAAACAAATTGTTGTTCTACATAAAGATGGCCTTGGCACTAAGAAGATTGCCAAAACTTGAAACTGAGCTGCAGCACGGTGGCCAAGACCATACAGCAGTTTAACAGGACACGTTCCACTCAGAAAAGGCCTCGCCATGGTTGACCAAAGAAGTTGAATGTTCATACTCAGTGTCATATCCAGAGATTGGCTGTCAGGCATGCCTCCTTCAGCAACCAAGAAAGAAAACACTTAACTCCATTTGTAGCATTTTCGCTTGGGTTCCAGTAGAGGGCACTTTAAGTTCTACTGCAGTGTTTCCCAAAGTGTGGTACGCGTACCCCCAGGGGTACGGGAAGAGTTTGGTGGGGGTACGCGTTGCACCGGAGGCAGAGGGGGG